ACGGCTCTAATTTTTTCTTTACATTTTTTCTCGTATGTAACAAAGAACAGTAAAGACAGTAGTGATGTTACCATTTTCGGCTCACTCTTTGTGTTTTCGAGAATTGCAAAACATCCGAATTGTAAAATCGAGTTCCGCTCACCCTGTTTGACGCTTTGTCACTTCGCAAAATGTCAGCACAATGATTTCAAACTTCTTCGAATTCATCCCATTCTTTTAGGGCGTGATGATTGTATGATGTATATAATATTCTTATGGAAGGAAATAGATAAAAGGAAGGTAATAAATTTAACTTAGAACTAATATATACTCCACTTTACTATAATAAATTTTAATAGCTTATTTCGGTATTAAAAATTGAAAGCTCACTTCAATGTAACTAAGGCAGGCTTGTGTGAAATTATTATTGCTTTTCTGAATTACGCGCTGCAAATAATAGAAAAGTTAACTATAGAGAGTCTTGCTAGTACACTTTCTTTTTGTAAATAAAAATTAAATATTTACACTATTATATACGTGTAGTCTTATCTCTTTTTTTGTTTTCTTTATATAACTGTAAGGGAACAAAAACAACCAACAGACACTTAATTTACTTGCAAATATGAATACAAATAAATAATTTATCAAAAATCTGGCTATTATCGTGCAAGTCTTATTTATACACTATCAAAAATTGAAAAAAGATTTTTAAGATGTTTATTTAATACCCTCTATAATAGCCTAATAATATTAATAATTTATTAATATTTAATAACCTAATAATAATATTGAATACCCTGACGCATAGCCTTCAGCTTTTAAAACTGCATTGCATCGTCGCTGCCTTGACTGGGTCTCATATCATTAATATCCACAACAGGTTTTAATAATAATTCCAGTGACTGAGGTTGTCTTGAATGCGCCCTTTTCTTCAATCAACCCACACATGTTCGATCGGTTTTTATCAGGAGATTGAAGGAGAGTTCGCAAATTCTTGGGCACGTTCCATATAATCCACTGTTTGCAGATATCAGCAGTGTGCTTGGGGTCATTATCTTTCTGAAAAATGTATCTCTGCTCTAATTGCAATTCTACTCCACTCTGCTTCACATTTTTCTTCAAGACATCTAAGTATCCTCATTTGTTCATAACGCCATCGATGATATGCATAGTTGCAACCCCATGAGACGACATGCATCCCCAAAACATCACAGAACCTTCTCTATGTTTCACTGTAGGCAGAGTAATGCAAGTTTCGTTGGCCGTATTTTCTTTTCTCCTTACCGTTCGGCCTCCATGAGAACCATAGAGTTGTTTGCGATTCATCCGGACAAACAACATTATTCCTGAACGTTTTATCTTTATTTTTGTGCTCTCCGCAGGCTTAGTTCTGGCAAGTTTGGTGAATTCTGGCAAGATGGTTGTTTCTCTGCAATCTAAAAAAGTCCAGCTTCTATACGACGAGTTTCCGTAGAATATTGTATGTCAGAACGTAGGCTTCCGCGGCCGGAGTCAGTATTTACTAGGCTGTCCGAGTGACGCCGCGTCCGCGGCAAATGTGCCGACCTTTCGGTCCCCATTCTGCGACCTTCCTCAGGGCGTAATGTATGGTAAATAATGTAATGTAAATACATTGTATGTCATAGGACTGTACGGGGGATGACATGAGCGGACATTTGCAAAATATGTATGAAGTCTGATTGAATTTGAAAGAATTCTTAATGAGTAGCATAGTGAAATTAACTGGGTGTTTAATTCTTTTTTATGGATATTCCATTTGAAATTTATTGAAATTTTGAGTGAATTTAGAGACCATGAAATAATTATAGTTTCCTTAATGGCAGCCAATTGCATATTGTTGATTCTAAATGGCGCATGCCGCTGCTTGTTTGAAATGCAAAAATGGAATGAAACAATTTTCCCTTCGTTTACTATTAATTTGATATTATGAAACCAATTTTGAACTTCTCAAATGATACTATTGGTTTTTGCAAAGAACATTTGTGTCCTAAGGCAGTAGTGCCGTAGCGATCTCGTATCGAAAGATCGCGGGTTCGAGTCTTGCCTCGGGCATGGTTGTATTGTTTTCGTCCTTTCACCCCCTATCAACAACATATCGTGTCATCCTCACAGTTACCATACCGTTACACGGAATAGTGGTCGCTAATGACCTAGAAGTTGATGCGACCTTCAATAACAAAAAAAAAACATTCGTGCCATCATAAAACAGAACTGTTCTTTCATGTTTAATGGACGAGGGCATATCGTGCACGCATAAATGAATATAATATAACTTTTGTTAAAGTAACTGTACTAGCGTTTTGTTGGCAAGAAGTAGCAGAGGTCTGCATTCTCCGCGATTTTACCGCGCCACTCTGGATCGCCTCTCTTTCTCTCGAGGCCATGCGCTGACCGTCCTTCGCAGCCGGTTGCAGGGCCCTATAACTCCCATATAACGTGGTGGAGACCATTACAGCGGCGGTGTTCGCGCTACCTTTTCTTTCATGCGTGTATTAGTATGGATAAATGAATTTTAGAAGTTAAACACATAGTATTTAACTTCTTTTGTAATTTATTTCATAAATCGCTCACAATCAAAGTGTATTCGTATTTCTTGACCAATTTTTATGTGGGAAAGTTGACGAGCCTTCAAGCAGCTGTTTCCGGCGACACTAGCGCATCCTATAGTAGCAACCTCTAGCTTTTCCCCCAATTTTGGTGGAGAGTTGCCTGGCCCTGGCCGGTTGAGTCTCCCGGTCGCTGGTGCCCGGCCGAGGCTGCCGAACGCAGATAAGTGGCGGACACCTCGCAAGGCTCAGCCGCCGCAACGGAGTTAGGCGATAGAGGATTGAGTGGCTGAAAATGGATTGCTACAAAAAGTATATATTTTTCTATCCAATTAATCGATTAGCTTTTATTGAAACGAAAAATAATCGAGTAACTTTAAAAATATTGTACTCCAATATATGTTTATATTTATATATTTCTATAAATATAACATTATTTAAAACATTTCATTAGGTGAATACAAATTTTCGACGAATAAAAAATTATGTCAAATAATTGTGCCAACGTTCATGGAGAAAGGACGCAGGGTGTCGGAATTCACTCCTCTGGTATATACATTATATCCACTACATCCAATTATAGATATGACACTATTTAAAATATTTCATTTCGTGAAAACACACGTTTGACGAATTAAAAGTTATCTCAAATAAGTATATATGTGATATTGAGTTAATGTATTTCGAATTATTGGAAACTCTACCCATGTGTAACGAAAGGGCAGCGAGTTAAATTTGCAGTTGGCGTTTTTGTTTGGCCGCCGATTGTGTCTTCCAATTCAGAGACCATGGTGACTTAGTATGTCAACTTTTTCACAATAAATTAGCATGCAAAATAACAAGACGTTTTCACGAGAGAAATAATAGTACCCACTTCAATTTTGTTTAGGATATGCGTTTTTATTATACAATCGCGAAATTAAGACCAAATGTTAATTGTGTTTAACAAATATGCCTAATATTCGGATTTGTAAGAAAATTAAATGACGTTACAATTAGTTTGTTACAATTTACGTTACAATTAGTTGTTGGAATACACTGACAAAAATTAAACTTTTGTAATTTTCGAAAAATCAGTGTTTTCAACGAACAAGACACCTGCACCATACTCTTAAACGTCCGTCACACTAACAACAAAATTTCACCAAAAACGATGGAGCTATTTTGGGAACGAATTTTATATAAACCTCGGTGATTAAAATAATTTTTAATGTAATTGCTTCAAATTTTAATAAAATACTATAATGTTCTTTCATTTTATTTTACAATACTATGCTTTGTATAGTATATACCGCCATTAATTGGTAGACTCAATCGGCGGCCAAACAAAATCAGGACAACGTCTCTCGGGTTCCGCTAGTATTTACATAATGTTTTATACACAGGTGAGCCACATGTCTTTTGCACCTCCTGTAGTTTTGAATAGTTGAAGTTATTGCAATGCAATTTTCACGGAAGAGCAAGAAGGAATGGGGCTAATTAAACAAGTATTCATTTCTTTTTTTATCATTAGCATTTTATGAGATATTAAGGTAACGGCGAGCTAAAAAAGACGAATTCAGTGATAAACATATTGTATGACATATCATTTTTTTAGTAATTTTTAATTTTTTGCAACTCATGCTTAAGGGATATTGTAAATGTAACAGTGCGCCAGGCAAGGTCACGCAACGCTTCTCCATGGTAATGCACGCTTGGGACAGGGAAGCTCATCGAAGTATTTAAATATACAAAACGTATTTCAAATCTTCACAAAACTGGCGTATTTTCCCCGTGAACTCTGCATTTCGTCTTTCTGCATTTTCAGATTTTTGTCTTTCTTTGATTGAAGGATTGAAAATAAGGGATAATCATATTATTGAAATAAAATACTTTGTTACTTTAACTCCATTTAATGGGTTTACTTACCACATGTTATTAATGGCATCTTGAAACAAAACAATTAGATTGAATAATTATGATTGTACAAAGAATATTGCACATGTGGAGCAAACTATTTTAATGTTAATGAGAATATACTAACAACATAGGATTACAAAAATCCAGTAAGATTATAACAATAATTAACTCTAAAATAAAAATAGATTCCACAATATAGTAAAAAAGTAATAATGGTAAATAAAAGTAAATAAAGTAGTAAAGTAAATATAGTAATAAATACATTACAACTCCATTTACTTAAGCATATGTTCAAAATGTTCACCATCTACAGACAAACAATCTGCCGGAATTTTTAAATAGATTTATTGACCCTTTGAGTAAATCAATTTTGAGAAAAAACACTTTTTCGTAAATCAAGAGGCAAGACGGGCAGAGCTCCCTGATAAATAAAAGCAGGCTTACTAGAATCGCGTCGATGGGATTTGCTTATTTGTACAAGTGTCTTCTTTCATCTATTTGTTCTAAGAATTGCCGAACAATGTGGCAACACATTTTAAAGTGCATCCGAGGTTATACTCTTAATACAGTGTCTTGTACACTGTTTCCACAACGGAACTCTTTCCTCGTTTTAAGATTTAAACTTTCCTGTAAATAAACAATTTTTCCATAGATATCTTTTGACAATTATTTAACAAACTCCTCTTGTATTTACAACACAATGTTGCAAAGAAATAATATAGGAATAGGTATATGGTGAGCAACAATGCTCCGAATGAGAATTGCACGATGTTCAGAAGATAAGTATGTGTACGTAAGCTTCCGCGGCTCGAATCCATGAATTCTCGGCTGTCCGGGAGACGCCGCGTCGTTGGCTGGGGTGCCGACGTTTCGCCCGACATTTCGCAGGCTTCCTCAGGGTAGTGAAGATAAGTTTCAGAAGATAAGCATGTTAATATGCGTATGCTTGTTCACTTGCCGATTTCTTCCAGTTTTGCTAGGTCTGCTTCAGTTAATTTCATATCAATTAAAAACTTTCGGTGAAGTGTGACATCACTGCTGCCATAAGAGACTGACAAAATTCAGACCCCACTATAGACAGTCGTAAACTGAACCCATTACAGGAGATAATCAACGATTTTCTTCACCCGAGTTTTAAGCTAATGAGAAAGTATTTGAATGCTTGGAACAAAAATGAATGTCATCACATCTAAAAGTTTGACATTAAAATCAGAAGCTAGCAAGTACGAGCAACACATTTCAAAATTTCATAAATGAAATCAGTTTCAACATTTGACATTTTGCTGCAAATTTCTTTTCCAGACATACAATACCTTTATCACATTTAAAATTAGTTATCGATAAAGATCTATTCTAGTTTCAAAGAAATTTATAACTTTCCAAGAGCATTCCAGAGCTTAGTTGACCAGCGTCTTATGCGCAATGGCACGAGCAATCTGGCCGTTCCACACCAGAGTATTCACGACGCTACACAGTCCGTGAAACGCGCCCATCAATTCAATGCTCTGGGGACAGGCCTCAGTAAGGAATTAGAAAGGAGCTCATGTTTCCTTCAGTAATGCGTCTAATTTTGGGATTAGTGAACAAGGATGGGCAGTGATAATATTAAGTGGTTATGAACTTATACAAAACAGATTTGATGATGTTGCAACTCTCGTTGCAATGTTTTAAACCGTGTATGTAGACATTTTAGTGTAATGCAGTATTGATTTTCGCGTCCTAAACATTTAAACACGTTGGGAAAAAAAGAAAAGAAACTTAGTCAAGGGATATGGGAACACCAATTCATAAGGTAGTAGGGACAATGCAGAAAATGGTCAAAATTGTTTGGAAATTTTATTCAGAAATTTTACATGCTAAAAGTTATAACATGAGGAAAAAACTAGAATAAAAGTGATGCCGGCGTGTAAATTTCGGCACTAAGAGAAACCGGGTAGTTCTAAGCCACAAAGCAAACTGGAAACCTAGAAAAGAAAGTCGAAATGAAGTATAGCTAAACAGTAACAATTTTACGAGGTTTCGAGAAAGTAAGTTAATGTAATTAAAACAGATCAATCTTTAATAATGTAATACTCAGGAATGTATTGAGGAACGCATTTAAGATGGCCAATGAGGCACTCTTACTTATGAAGTGAAGAGCTCGAGGAGGATTAATAATCGCCAAGAGTGTTGCCCAGAATGAAATTACCTTTCAACTGTAAGATTTCAGCACCACAAGAGAACGCCATGTAAAATGACAATTCCAGTTCAGAACTGAAATTTAATGAGAGCCGTTTTGCTGTTCGCGTCTGCAACGACAAAACTCCCTGAAAGCTCTCGAACCAGTTCTGGGCACACAACACACACAATTCGAGAGGAAAGTTGTAGATGCCGAGACCACCTGAAGAAAGAAAAATAAAGACATTGGAATTGTGAAACTAAAAACAAAATGATAACACCCCTAAGTCTGGCATTACCACGGGACGGCAGCCGTTTTAGAGTCTTATTGAACTTTTTGTAATGGTGTGAATTATTGTTAAGGCAGATCTTAGTTTTCATGAAGTCTTCAAATAAAGCCACAATGTAGTTCAAAGCTTACTACTACGAAGCCTTTACAGAGTCTTCGGCTTTGAGAAATGAGAGGGGGACCGGCACATATAAAAGTTAACCCGTTAATCCGTTAATACATACCGTTCTTTATATTGTAGATCACCTTCACACATAGAATACATGAAGTTCTAGAATAATTTATTGAAACAATCTTACGAAGGCGATTCAGTTCATTTGGCAAATTTAAAAACTGAAGAGATAAATGAAGACCCGAAAATGAATAGTGAAGAAATTCAGAGCCAGATATATAATCATTTTACTAAACTAATCCACGTGTATATATTGGTATATCGAAGCCAATATTGTCAAAATCCAAATTTAAGCTGGGCGTCGCTCTCCATAACGCGCAAGTCCATTACATCCTGGTACTGCTCGAGTGAACACTTGCCTCTTCAGGTGGCACGAAGAAGCACGGGAACATCCTTTCGACAGCATCCAACCCCATGCAGGCGCACCGGTCAACGTACACCAAAGGGGCCCCGCATACGTCTGTGATGGGGCTGACGATTAAGGCCGCCGGGGCACAGGCCAGCCACACCGCTCGCTCCAGCGCGGTCAAGGCGAAGCCCATCAGCGGCAAGGCCCTTGCGTTGCCGTACACTCCGCCAAGGCCCCGCAGCAAGGGGATGTTGGCGACCCGCTGCACGAACTGGCTACGGTGCCTGCCGCGGGCCTGCACCGGCGAGCGAGAGGGGGCTTGATGGGATGAAGCGACTGTAGTGACAGATGTAAGGGGGGAGCTTAGAGATCCGTCGTCATCTGACGGCGCCGCAGGCTGCTGTGCGGAGCGAGGTTCAAGGGCTCCCACTGGTGTTGGTGGGGTCTGAACGGGAGAAGCGGCGGGGTTGCTAGTAGGTGTTAACTGAGAGACCGTTATCACAGAAGGTTCAGAGGGATTGATCATTTCTAACCTGCAAAAGAAATGAACCCTAACATTTTCAAAATAATAGTGGGAACACAGGAAAAACCAACGTGCGACACCACACTGATAATTACACCTAATACTTACAAATTTGGGACGTCTCAAACAGCTAATGCTTACCCCACAGCCCTGTGACCAGCACTGAAGGAGTTGTGCGTCTCATCGCTCTTTTAAAGGAATAGGATCGCTGGCTGGCTGGCGAAGACTCGATACCTCTGAACGTTACGTCCAGCAGCGCCAGCTAATAGAAGCTTCTTAATTTTGATACACTCGACACACGAAATTCATTCATTGGTTCTTTGCAACTGCTTTGGTATATCCCTTTAAGTACAAATATAATATAAAACGGAACACTTTAGGAAAATCAAATTTTCAATTTTATCTTCGTGTTAGGGAATGGCGTTTTTTAGCAATTGATTTCTGATTTCATATAATGTCATTACAAAAGACTCGAAAAAATATACAATGTTGAAATGATTATTCCAATTAAAGACTTATTTAGTTAATTGCTCTATGTCACGTATATGCTTTGTAGCTACCTTCTGTATATAAACACTGACATATTCAGTTTGCATGTGATTTATTGCTAAACAAATTTGGCAAACCATACACCAATATTATGATGGTTGTGCACAGCCATCATATAACATGACAGCATATAACGTCTGGCATTATTTCTATTTTCTTTAATTTTCGAAAATTCAGATTGTTCAACGAAAATAGCCTCAACGACATTTTCTTAATGTCCGTTTCTTTACCCCTGAAAAAAATTAAAGGTAAAATTGGAATCTTTTTCGATAATTTTAATAATTTACATTAAATCAACAAATTACGTGAAATTTAATCGCTTTTAAAAATGTACATGTCTTCATTTAAAACTTCATTTTTAGAACAGAATTTATTTAAGAAAAAATATTTATCACCAATATTATACTTTCGCCATTTTTTTCAATATTAAAAATACAGAGAAGTTTACCAAAAATGGGACCGGCACAAGCTTTTAACATTCTTTGCTAAATATGAAGCAAAAATAAAGAAAAAATTGGAACTGTTTTTGAGAAAATATTTTTTTTTTAATTGTCTATATTGAAATTGTTCATGAATTTACTTCACAAACGTCTTTAAACAACAGGTTTTATTAAGGAAAAAATCATTTATTAAGAAATCTTTCATTTTGTAGATGTAGAAAGACGCCTAAAGAATTTTGAACATTTGTGATTTGCGGTCACGTTATGGATATTTTAACGAAAATTAGATGTGTCATTCTTGTAAACGTCCTTGACGCTATCCGATGACAAAGTTTAATAACAAAAAAATGTGTCATTTTCGAGAAAATTTGGAAATCGTTGAAGTTTTATATTAACTGCATTCGAAAATCAAAATATCCCTTTCAAACTCTCGGGACCTTGAGTTCGTTCTGACAGGCGTTTTGCAATTAATCAATTTTTTTGTGAATGTGATCGATTAAATATGGATTCTGTCTGCACGACGTGTTACATGAAGTAAATTATAATATAGTATTTTACATTATTATTTAGATTTGATAAAATATTTATAGACTTAATATTTTATTATTGGAAACAAAATGTCAACCCACGCCCCCGGCTCTACTTCTCCTGCAACTAGCAATAGTGGTGCTTTAACAGAACTATCTATTCTATTATTTATTCTAACTTATGCAATTTTCGAAATTTCGGAAACCAACGAAAATGACACCTGTGCCCTTTTCTTCAGTGTCTTTTGTTGAATCCAGTGAAAATATTGAAGAAAAAATTGGGGGGGGGGTTGTTTTAGTAATATTATTTATATAATCAGCATTAATTTCAAGCTGACATTGAACAAAAAGGTTTCGTTCAAAGAAATTGTGTACGCCCTTATCTAAAGATCTAATACTTTATAATACATTTCATATTAAATAAATATTTCTGTAATCAATATTGTACTTTTTCAATGTTAACATTTTTTATTTTTTCGAAAATACAGAGAAATTGGCGAAAACGGGACCATCATCAATTTCATAAACGTTCTTTTAAGAAAAAAAATTGAAGAAAAACTGAGAGACGTTTTTTGAGAACTGTTTGAAATTATCTAAAGGCTGGATAAAATGGTAAAAAATGCCACCGCTTGAATTCGAAAAGTGAATCTTTCTTAAGGTTTGTGACCACGAAAAATATTTTTTCATGGACTTTTAAAATCCAACTCCCCCTACACATCCTTCCTAATAACGAAAAATGTGTTATTAATTTTTTTTTCCATTAAATTTGCATTGAAAATAGTGATGCTTGATGTGAAATTTACTCAATTTTTCAAAAATAAGTTTAAAAATTTTGTTTGCCGTGAAATTCACACTTTTAAATGATTTTAAAACTTTGAATTTTTTACAGCAAGTTTTCATTCCGCCGGGTGCACAAGAAAATTCTCAAGTGTTATCCTAAAAATCATCTATCTTCTGAAATTGTTTGAGATCTTTCTGATTGATGCGCCATATTTTAAAAAATTAAAATACATGTCTTTGTCCTTTTATTTTTGTGTACATACAACTAAAAAGAGTTATGTAATTACAATATTGTTTTCAAGCCACAATTTTTGCAATATTAAAAGGCTAATATCAATAAATAATTTTGCAATAATATTTTTACCATTAAATATAAATTCAGCAGCGAATGGTGAATAATTTTTATTATTTAAATAGAAAATCTGTTTTATCAGCTACTTATTTTGTTAATATTTGGTAATGTTTTGTTATACACCACTATACCTAAAATTCTAAAGAAATTCTCTCTGCAATTAGGGTCAATCCTCTATAATTGATAATTTTTCGAACCTATCAAGTAATTTAAAATAAATAAAATAAATTGTTCACCATCTGGAGAGGGTTAATCGAACGGTCAAAATTACAAAATCCCTTAAGACTAATACAGCACGTTTTACATTCAATGTTTCTACTGTACTACTATACCCGTAGACGTATATACGAAGTAATATACTTAGTATAGGGAAGTTATGTAATAATGCGGAAAATCGATTTCATGATTTCTACGCAAATCCTCGTTTTGGGGTCACCTGATACCGAAAATGTGTTGTTCTTTTTTTTCAAAACGTCCGTCTGTCCGTCCGTCTGGTGTGTGTGAACAATACTAGTGCCTAAACCATACGTTGGGTTTTTTCCAAATTGAAGAAAATCGTGTCGATTTGGCTCGAGTCAAATCTTTGAGATTTTGAAAAACGCTCTTTAAAATTTGGGGGTACTTTAGATGAAGCTCACCGGACATTTTCAAAATTTTCTCAAAAAGGGCTCCAATTTTTTCTTTAAATTTCTTGTACGAAAAGAGTAACATACACTTAGAACGGTGGCATAGGTTCTATTTTCACGATTAAACCTGAATTTTCAAAAAAATTAAAAGTATGAATTTTTTTCTGTATTATCCTACAACTACAAAATTGAAGATAGAGATTATCCTTCAAATACAATTTGTTATATTTTAGGTTTGCCTTACTTTCAGCAGTACAACACATGGCAAAAATAATATTATTTTCCTTTTGCATGTTTGTTATAGTCTCTAATTCTATAAACACAGTTATGCAGCAGAAAATATTTTATTTCGGAACTATTGTATCGAATTTATTCGTTTAATGTATGTGTGTGAATGTTTGGCTATGAGCTCTTGATACTGTCACTTGATGAATATGTTTAGTACGTCAAGTGATATAATTATAGTCATCGGCGTTTACTGAAAATATATTCCCGCCCTTGAGTAAGACATTTAAAACATTTTTGACTACTGATTCCTAAATGACAAGAGACAAGATAATAAAGACAGGATTACAAGTATCACGTGGTTGGAATTTGTTTATTACTCGTTATACTCGTTACTCGTACAGTTGTTATTTGCAATCTAAACGTCTGGGAGCTAGAAGATGTACTTCTCCAGAATAATTTGCCATTACTTGTGTGCAAGGTAATAATAAGATATATTTGGATCTGATTAGCTAATTTTAGGCTCTTCCAAACGACATTAATCTACTACAACGATTCCAGTTAAAATCCTAGGTCGATAAATGCCGTACATCCCCAAGGTTCTCAAAACGCAACCTTAAAACAAAAGGGTTTTAACTGCAATGTTATGGAAAACTGAGTTGTCGACATGGTCGGATACTGTATCAAAAACATTTCTATCGGCTGTGAATCTGTGATGTCTTCTTCTCCTGCGAGTGGAACTACACCATGCGGTGTCTCTCGCACCCAAGCTTTCATCTTCTTCTATCTTGTCAATCATTTTCTTTGATGTGACGATATTTCATTGTCTGCCGCACACCATCGTACCGTATGTCTTGGTCTATCTCTATTTCTGTGCATTGGTACCTGCCACATCCAAGTTTTTAATGGCCATCTTTCCTCCGGTATTTTTTTAAGATACTCGTACCATGTTTATCTTCTCCCTGCTATTGCTGCTATCCATTATATCCGAAATAGCGCCCATTTTCTGTTTTATATTTTTATTTATGTTCCTTTCCACTAAAGTTATACTACAGCCGCGACCCCAAAACTCCATTACCATAGCCTTTAACTTTTTCTCATTGTTTTTAGATCTCCCACAACTCAGCACGATACAGTGATAAGCTTTCCACAATTTCTGTATACATTTTAATTTTCACTTTATTAGGTATCTTTTTATTCCATATTATTGAATGCAATTGCCGAATAGCAAATTTTCTTGAATGCGATGTTTAATTTCCGTTTCATTATCCACTTGGACTGTTAAAATTGTTCCTAAATGACAACACTTGACAACGGAGCCATCTTCCCTTTTTGAAATAGATATTCTAGCCCCATTTTTCATATTGCTTATTCAATTTCTGTAACATATAATGTACATCGTCTTCATCCTCTGCAAATATCACTTGATCATCTACAAAATTAAGTGAATATCGTCATTTAATTTTATTCCCATTCTTTCACAATTTTTCTGCCAAATTTTTGAGCTTCTC